TTCTCAAGGTTCCCAGCTCCACCCTTAAACCCCCCCACCTACATGGGCTGTCCTTTACCCCTCTGTACTCACTGCTCTAATCCTGCCACACCAGCACCGCCCTTTGCTGTGCCCAGGTGAGGATTTCTAAGTTAAGGACACGGCCATCATTGACTTTTGGGAAACGAGGAAATTTTTTTTTTTTTCTAGCACGGCTGATGCGTTAATGCTTCTCTTTTGGAAATCCAGTTTATCTGAAGTGGGAATTATTTTATTCCTGTACCTAAATTAGACTACTGTCACCTCCTAGCTTTTTTTTTTTTTTTTCCTAATCTAGATGAGTGATCTGATTGTTACTCATACATCAGCATCATCCTGTCCTCCCTATAAGCAACCCACCCTTATTTTGAGAGGAGCCACCATTACACCACTTCTGGGCTGCAGTTGAAGCAGCTCCTGAGACACGCTGGGTTCACTAAATGCAAATTATAATACACACACACAGGTACTGGCCACAGGGGAATGAAAGAGTCTGGTGGAAGGTGTACCTGCCCATGATCTTTAAGGTCCCTTCCAACCCAAAACATTCTTTGAGTCTACAATTTAATTTAATTTGCACAAAGAACACCTTAGTTGCAGTTTTAAGACATTTCCATAAGTTTGGTGTTTTGTTTTGTTTTTTCTTTTTTTTTTTCCATTTCTGATTTCTGTGTGGGAACCTGAATATCAGCAATGGATGGGGAAATTGATCAAGTTTGATGTTCAAGTGGGTCACACAACCCTCTCTTCTCACTCACAGCCCAGCAGGCACATGACCAATGCAAAAGGTACCCCCAGGAAGAAGATGCCCTTCTACACTCAGTAAAAAAAACACAAAAAAATCACTCATTTGAAAGTGCCTGTTAGCTTCCAGCATGAGTTTCTACCAGTAATGACAAATTCAGTGTTAAATATGCTCTTCAAAGAGCATCAGGGGGGGATCATACTTCAATAAACTTTGCCTGGTCCAGGTTTTAATTAATGCAGATTCTGCAGCATATTCCTCTTTGTTCAGCTATTTTTCTTCATCTACAGGAACTACAAATACAGCATCAGCCTTCAGCGAGCTCACTAATGAGCTATTTCTGCTCTCAGCCCACGGTAGTCAGTGCAAGTGCTCTGCACAGCTCTCAGCCTCACAACCTTTCCAGCAATCCTTCTGTCAGGACAGTGAGAGGGGAACCACAGAGCTAAACGTGTCTCTCAGAACCCAAGCAAGTTAAACCAACTCCTCCAGCACCTG